AGTCGAGCGGCCGCCGGACACCGACATCGTGGTGAAGGCGATCCCCCCGGCCTTCGCCGACATCTTCATCGACAAGGTGGCCAAGCTGACCTGCCGAGTGAGCAACCTGCCCAGCGTGGAGGGCCTGGCCATCGCCTGGAGGAAGGAGACGGGCCAAGAGCTGGAGACCAGGACCTTGCCCCAGGTGCTGCAACCCAACGGGCTCTACAGCGTGGACGGCGTGGCCAGCGTCTGCGCCGACGAGTGGGACAAGGGCGAGGTCTACGTGTGCAGGGTGAGCCACCCTGACCTGCTCTTCCCCGTCGAGGAAAAGCTGCAGAGGAAGGCTGGTAAGCTTCGCCCCTCCTCGCCCCGGCTCCAAAAACTGGGGGGGTGGCATTGAGGTCAACGCCCGCTGCTCTCGTGCATGCACTAATTGCTGCAAGGGGGTTAATCCTGCAGCAGAAACGGGCTCAAAAATGCAAGAAACAGGGAAGGCGCCTGCATTGGCGTTACTGCTCGGAGCAAGGCCCGCTGCTCTCGTGCATGCACGTGTTGATGCAAAGGGGATAATCCCGCAACGGAAATGGGTTCGCAATGCAAGAAACAGGGAAGGCACCTGCATTGGCGCTAGTGCTCGGAGCAAGGCCCGCTGCTCTCGTGCATGCACGTGTTGATGCAAAGGGGATAATCCCGCAACGGAAATGGGTTCGCAATGCAAGAAACAGGGAAGGCACCTGCATTGGCGCTAGTGCTCGGAGCAAGGCCCGCTGCTCTCGTGCATGCACGTGTTGATGCAAAGGGGATAATCCCGCAACGGAAATGGGTTCGCAATGCAAGAAACAGGGAAGGCGCCTGCATTGGCGTTACTGCTCGGAGCAAGGCCCGCTGCTCTCGTGCATGCACGTGTTGATGCAAAGGGGATAATCCCGCAACGGAAATGGGTTCGCAATGCAAGAAACAGGGAAGGCACCTGCATTGGCGCTAGTGCTCGGAGCAAGGCCCGCTGCTCTCGTGCATGCACGTGTTGATGCAAAGGGGATAATCCCGCAACGGAAATGGGTTCGCAATGCAAGAAACAGGGAAGGCACCTGCATTGGCGCTAGTGCTCGGAGCAAGGCCCGCTGCTCTCGTGCATGCACGTGTTGATGCAAAGGGGATAATCCCGCAACGGAAATGGGTTCGCAATGCAAGAAACAGGGAAGGCGCCTGCATTGGCGTTACTGCTCGGAGCAAGGCCCGCTGCTCTCGTGCATGCACGTGTTGCTGCAAAGGGGTTAATCCTGCAGCAGAAACGGGCTCAAAAATGCAAGAAACAGGGAAGGCGCCTGC